TCTATATATAATGTCTAATTGTCATATTATTAACATTTTAGTGCTGCTCTCTTGGATATGTATTGCAATGTATTAAAATATCTATTGATCGAAGAATTATATCCGGCTGTAACGGTTGGATTTGATTATGATATCGATGTCAGTGAAGAAGCTATAGGAATTACAATACAAATGAGCGGGTTTGGTCAAAAACTGCCAGTAGGTATACGCTTTAAATTGTGTTGGCGAAGTTATAAGTATAATTTCGACATACATAAATATTTTATTTATATTGCAGACCTTGTTGATGCTTATTGCAAACTCTATAGTACGTCTAGTCTCTGTTTCGAAAGACTTGTTTGAAGTTATTAAAACGCAACAATTACGGGCATATTACAACAAATTTATGGAAACTGAGGAATTCATCAAGTATCATCTGTTTATTATCTAGCATAATCGCAAAAACTATAAAATTCTTACATGACTAAAAAAAATAATTAATAATGGACATCTTTTATAATAATTAATTTTATAACATTAGAATTATATTTATTACATTTTTTTATCATTTCCAATTAGTAATATTTGTATTGATTATTTTTCGCAGGAATATGAAATTATGCATATTAAAGAAACCCTATTATACGTACGTTCACAAGTACGAATATCTATATAAATATATTAATTTTGAAGACTTCCAAGGCTTTGTAAAGTCCTTCAACAATTTTCTGTCTATCGAGTGTCTTGTGCAAGGCAATATAATGAAAGGCTGTACGATCGGAATTATAACATCATTCATCACACGAATTAATTGTTTTAACTTTAGTAATATTACGCAACAATTTATTAGAGTCGCAGTAATATCCAAACTCCAATCTAATTATTACAAAATAAAATTGAAAAATATTAACCGTACATGTGTCGACTCTGTAGTAACATATTATTATCAAATCGGTATTGCTACAATTGAATCATCGGCCTTAATCGATTTAATACTCGTAAGTATTTAATAATATTGTTTTATATATTTAAATACATAGACCTTCAATTTATATTTATTTACTTTTAAAAGTAAATGAAATGTGAATAACATTTTTTATTACTGTGATTGATTTTATTTGCCCATCTCATCTGTTAAATAATAATCTTTTAGATGATAATGAAAGAATGGTTAATAAATGAGTTCCGAACTATAGGATTTAGTAACGTTTCGTGTGACCGTACAGATATCAACAAAATATTGGGATTTTCTATTACTGTTTATATTCAGGAAAATAAATACACATTCGAATATGTTGATGATCTGATCCAGAATTTTCTGAGATTGTTTCGCGTCAAGTTACCACAATTCTTAGAAGGCAAATTAGATCATGTCAAAGAAAGTCTGAGAATTTTAAAGCAATCTGATGATGCACAGATTTTAAAAAACGAAGTAAACAGAAACTGGAGTGAGATCACGAAGCAGCAATACATATTTCACAGATATGAAAGTGAAGCGCTTGCAATAGAGAACATAAATATGTATAATCTGATGAAATTTTTTAATGAGTACATAGGTCAATCTTTATTTAAAAAATTGCGCATATATGTTGAAGGAACTCCAAAGGAAATTGCATTAAGTAAGCAGATAACTTTTCTGTTCGAACTTTGGTCTAAATATTCATTTTTATGACATCAGTCTTACCTTCCATTTTTTTCTTGTCATATTAAGTTAAAATTGCTAAAACAATTAAAATTTCAAAAATTTATTGTTATAGATACAGAGTCTCATAAAAAAGATATGTACTCTATTTCGGACTGTTTAATCGACAATTTGCAGCCCATTAAAATATTGCAATATTACGAGCACTGTGAAATGTAGATGATTACAACGTAGATGATTACAAAAAGTTACGTAGTATGTATATATATATATACTGAGTGAATCATAGTCGTTGTATCAACTTTTTACCCTAAGTGAGAAAATTATCGACTTCATATCTAATTGAATTATAACG